TTCATGTGTTTGTTGGCAATCTGTATATCTTCTTTGGAGAAATATCTATTTAGGTCTTCTGCCCATTTTTGGATTAGGTTGTTTGTTTTTTTTGATGTTGAGTTGCATGAGTTGCTTGTCTGTTTTGGAGATTAATCCTTTGTCAGTTGTTTCATTTGCAAATATTTTCTCCCATTCTGAGGGTTGTCTTTTCATCTTGTTTATGGTTTTCTTTGCTGTGCAAAAGCTTTTAAGTTTCATTAGGTCCCATTTGTTTATTTTTGTTTTTATTTCCATTCCTCTAGGAGGTGGGTCAAAAAGGATCTTGCTGTGATTTATGTCATAGAGTGTTCTGCCTATGTTTTCCTCTAAGAGTTTGATGGTGTCTGGCCTTACATTTAAGTCTTTAATCCATTTTGAGTTTATTTTTGTGTATGGTGTTAGGGAGTATTCTAATTTCATTCTTTTACATGTAGCTGTCCAGTTTTCCAAGCAGCACTTATTGAAGAGGCTGTCTTTTCTCCACTGTATATTCTTGCCTCCTTTTTCAAAAATAACGTGACCATATGTGCGTGGGTTTATCTCTGGGCTTTCTATCCTGTTCCATTGGTCTATATTTCTGTTTTTGTGCCAGTACCATACTGTCTTGATTGCTGTAGCTTTGTAGTATAGTCTGAAGTCAGGGAATCTGATTCCTCCAGCTCCGTTTCTCTTTCTCAAGAATGCTTTGGCTATTCGGGGTCTTTTGTGTTTCCATACAAATTGTGAAATTTTTTGTTCTAGTTCTGTGGAAAATGCCATTGGTAGTTTGATAGGGATTGCATTGAATCTGTAGATTGCTTTGGGTAGTAGAGTCATTTTCACAATGTTGATTCTTCCAATCCAAGAACATGGTAAATCTCTCCATCTATTTGTATCATCTTTAATTTCTTTCATCAGTGTCTTATAATTTTCTGCATACAGGTCTTTTGTCTCCTTAGGTAGGTTTATTCCTAGATATTTTATTCTTTTTGTTGCAGTGGTAAATAGAAGTGTTTTCTTAATTTCACTTTCAGATTTTTCATCATTAGTGTGTAGGAATGCCAGAGATTTCTGTGCATTAGTTTTGTATCCTGATACTTTACCAAATTCATTGATTAGCTCTAGTAGTTTTCTGGTAGCATCTTTAGGATTCTCTATGTATAGTATCATGTCATCTGCAAACAGTGACAGCTTTACTTCTTCTTTTCCAATTTGGATTCCTTTTATTTCTTTTTCTTCTCTGATTACTGTGGCTAAAACTTCCAAAACTATGTTGAATAAGAGTGATGAGAGTGGGCAGCCTTGTCTTGTTCCTGATCTTAGTGGAAATGGTTTCAGTTTTTCACCATTGAGGATGATGTTGGCTGTGGGTTTGTCATATATGGCCTTTATTATGTTGAGGAAAGTTCCCTCTATACCTACTTTCTGCAGGGTTTTTATCATAAATCGGTGTTGGATTTTGTTGAAAGCTTTCTCTGCATCTATTGAGGTGATCATATGGTTTTTCTCCTTCAATTTGTTAATATGGTGTATCACGTTGATTGATTTGTGTATTTTGAAGAATCCTTGCACTCCTGGAATAAACCCCACTTGATCATAGCGTATGATCCTTTTAATGTGTTGTTGGATTCTGTTTGCTAGTATTTTGTTGAGGATTTTTGCATCTATGTTCATCAGTGTTACTTGCCTGTAGTTTTCTTTCTTTGTGACATCTTTGTCTGGTTTTGGTATCAGGGTGATGGTGGCCTTGTAGAATGAGTTTAGGAGTGTTCCTCCCTCTGCTATATTTTAGAAGAGTTTGAGAAGGATAAGTGTTAACTCTTCTCTAAATGTTTAATAGAATTCACCTGTGAAGCCATCTGGTCCTGGGCTTTTGTTTGTTGGAAGATTTTTAATCACAGTTTCAATTTCAGTGCTTGTGATTGGTCTGTTCATATTTTCTGTTTCTTCCTGGTTTAGTCTCGGAAGGTTGTGCTTTCTAAGAATTTGTCCATTTCTTCCCGGTTATCCATTTTATTGAAGTCCACATTCTTAAAATAAATTTAAGAGAAACAATTTAAGTGCCAAATAAAAAAATAAAGATAGCCATCCCCATCAAAAGGTGGCAAAAGTGATCACAATATAATCAGGAAATCCTCAGGCATATTTTTTTTTTCAAATTTAACCCTCCATAGTGAACATATAAGTTGGGGAATTTATTTTCAAATGATAAATTTGGTGTTTGCAGAAAATATGCTATTCTGGAAGAACTAGACTTTTTTGTGCTTTAATGAGAGTGAAAAGATTATTTTCTAGAAGCTTTGGGTCACAAATAATCAAAGGAAGGAAAGGAATTCTTGGAAGGTCATGTTCAAGGATGCTTTCTCTATGTTAATTGAATGTATCAAAGCTGCCCTGGGTCGTTGTGAAGTCAAAGCTTTATTTTAGATATGAGAACTGTGGCTCTCGAAGTTTGGATACTATCAGAATTGTTTTGGTGTGCTGATATCTGAGCCTTCTGGGCAGGAATTTCTTACGTAGATGTGGTACTAGGGCTAGACTCTATGGAGAGCTGCTCTATGTTTTATGTTAATCCTTTGGATTTGGCATATCAAAGAATACCTGTAAAATAATGAGCAGGTGATTTTATTTCCTAGTAATTGACATTGAACATATATAATCCTGAAACAGATTAATTTCAGACCTTTTTCTCATAGCAATTGTACAAAATAAAGCACCAATTTAAAAATAAAATTGCTTGACAAACCTCGGGGTGTGTCTTTGGTGAGTTGTAGTTTATATAGATGAATTTCCATATTTCTACTTACATCAAATACCATATTGTACAGTCTTTCAAATACAGAGAAAAATGTCTTGCTTGGACACAATAAAAATGAATAGGGGCCTTTTGCTTATATCTCACACCCATTTGAACAAAGTCATGTTCGTGCATTTAACACTTTATTTTCTGAAAATATTATACGTTATCTAGACAAAAAACTCTACAAAACCTTAGTATATGTTGAAGAGACTTGCAAAGGAAATATTTCTATATTTTTTCTCCCTCTTTCTATGAATTTCTATGGTTTATAAACCTCAGTGACAATTCAAAAGTTGAAGCTCTGTGAAATAATTACTCCCTTTTGGTAGTAAGAAGTTTTTGGGCATAAAAATGCGTATTTAAAATATGTGATTAAACTATTATAACTATCCAAATCTTACCTATGTAAAGCTCTTAGAACTCACCTGCCACAGAGGCAGTGCCCCATCAGGATTAGCTGTAATCACTCATTCTTCAAGAATTAGCTCTAAAGCCATGATGGATACCTTGATTGACCATACATCCCTGTTGTTTCATGGCCTTACTTTGGCCAGAATTGGGAATCAACTTTATTTTAAAAAGCCAATTTGATAAGCAAACTCTATATTTCAATGTTTTAATTCAAACCATTTGTGTGTCCTTTTCTGTGAATTGCCTATTTCATGGCTCTTGTCTATTTCTTTATTGGTATGTTAGTTGTTTTTTTTCATTTGAATCATTATTTATATATTAATGATTTAACACTTTATATGATATTTTATTGCAAGTATTTTCACCAATTTGTCCTTTGCCTCTTTTTAAAATAAATTTATATATTTATTTTCATTTTTGGCTGCGTTGGGCCTTCAGTGCTGCGCGTGGGCTTTCTCTAGTTGCGGCAAGTGGGGGCTACTCTTCATTGTGGTGTGTGGGCTTCTCATTGTGGTGGCTTCTCTTGTTGCGGAACAGAAGCTGTAGACGCGCAGGCTCAGTAGTTGTGGCTCGCGGGCTCTAGAGCGCAGGCTCAGTAGTTGTTGCGCATGGGCTTCTTTGCTCCGCGGCATGTGGGATCTTCCCTGACCAGGGCTTGAACCCGTGTCCCCTGCATTGGCAGGCGGATTCTTAACCACTATGCCACCAGGGAAGTATCCTCGTCCTTTGCTTTTTAATCGATTTGTGTGTGTGTTTAACAGAAGGAGTAAGTTGTATACTCTCAAATCTATCTCTTTAGTGTGTGATAACTTGGGGGCAGTTTCTAGGGGTAGAGGTTGCTGGCCAGTCCTTACTTTACTATCCCTTAAATCCACAAAGGGCAGGACCAGTAAATGCAGATCTGAAATCTAGGGGAGGAGTCTAGGCTGGGAGTATATATCTGGATGTCACCTGTCTAGAGCATCATGGAAATATGGGTGTAGATGAATTCTTCTGTCGTAAGAATGGAAAGAGAGAAAAGAAAAGGAAACTGTGTTGGAATGTCTATTTGGGGAGTGAGAAGAGGAAAACGAGTTAGCAAAGCTGACCAGAAAGAGAAGATATTCAAAGAATCATGGACGGCCAAGAAGGCAAGAGACATAAGGTGACGGTCAACTGGTTAAGTCAGATGGATTTGGCAAGAGAAGCCAATGAAAAAGTCAAAATACAAGGAACAGAGGAGCAAAAAGGAGGCAAATAGACCAGCCTCTTTTCTATTCGGTCAAATGAGCACCATCTCCAAGAGCATATGAACATATTAAGACAAAACCCCAAATCATACTTGTATGTACAAAATGATCTTAAATCCTCTGTAGTTTACTTATGCCCTCCCTCATTTCCTCTACTGCAATGACTTTTTATAGTTCCATACCAACGAGCAAAGGAAAAATTTTGTAGGGAATTCGCACTCAACTTTAATGCCCCCCCTCCGTGCCCAGGAATGATGTTAACGAGCTGATGCTTCATCCTACAACATTTTATTATAATCAGTAAAATTACTTAACCGGCTTCACTGCGATAGGGAACAGGGGGAACTCTGGGAAGAGTGGGATCGCTTGGAGGTCAACAAGGTACTGTAAACGAAGGAGCAGTCTCAGCCTTCAGAGTGGAGGCCTGACCTCGCCGGAGGACAGAAACGGGGCTGCCTGGCTCACCTCCCCACGTTTTGGTTCTTATCCCTGTGGCTTGTGTACAGACAGTTGCTCTGGTAACATGCCTAGCATTGTCTGCATGTGTTTTTCCCTGTCAGGGAGCAGAAAGAAAAATCCGAGACGAAGAGAGGAAGCAGAACAGGAAGAAGGGGAAAGGCCAGGCCTCCCAAACCCAGTGCAACAACTGTGAGTGTGGCTGCGAAGGGGTAGGCTTTGTCTGGGCCAGGTCCACTGGGGAATGGGTGAAAAGAAGTGGGTTGCAGGTAAAATATGGACATGCAAGGGATGGCTTGCTTTTCCCTAGCAGTGGAGAAGGGGCGAACTGTCCCTGTTAAACGTAAATAGAATCACATGATCACAATGTTAGAACTAGGAGGGATTTTTCTAATGTCAAGGAGACCAACATCCTCCTTCTCCAGACAAGGAATCTAGGGCACAGGGAGGGACAGGAGGGCAAGAGGGGACTGGAGCTCCCCCTCAGGAATGCTCACGCCAAGTCCACTCTCTTTCTGCTGGTTTGGTGATGGGAGAGGGGAAGCTTTTAAAGTGTGTTCACATCTATGGTGTTTGGGAATCTTCATAGGAGACAATCATGAACTTTAGCTAAGGTCAGATCTTACAGGTGAGAGTTTAGTCATTCACAACCTTCTCACTTATGGGTTTTGTGATTGTGTCCAGCCTCTGATGGGAAGTTGGCGGCGATACCGTTACAGAAGAAGAGCGACATCACCTACTTCAAGACGATGCCTGATCTGCACTCCCAGCCCGTCCTCTTCATACCCGATGTTCACTTTGCAAACCTGCAGAGGACAGGACAGGTATGGCCTCCCTGCTAACATCTGCCTGCCATCCATTCACTGGGCTGGTAGAGCCTTAAGACAGCATCACTTCAGGCACTGTTGATCTTAAAAATAAAACCCATGAATTCAACAAAAAGTCAGCTCTTCCCTACAGAAAATGGAATTTTATAGAAAGGAATGTCTCAGGAGAGGAAACCAACTTACTAAGGGGAAGGTGAGAGTGAGCTGATAATCTCGAAGTGTTGACAAAGCAATGAAAGAGGAAGAAAGTAAGAAGGCTGATAACCTGTAAGAAAAGTTTTGTTTTGTTAGTTTTGTCATGTGGGATCCACCTGATGCGATGAAGCTCCATCTAATGGTGGGAAATTGAACTGCAACCATAACTTTAGAAAGTTGCCCAAGAGGAAAAATTCTTTGATTAAATAAAACTCTATCAACAATTTTTCCCTTAGTAAATTAACAGTTTCCATTGAATAGGTAAATAATTTCACACCAAGAGAAAAATGAGATTGTGGACAAGCCTTTTAAAAAAAGTTCCTGTCTTCTAGGTATATCTATAAGTGAAATTATAGAAATAATATTATATAAAGATCCAATAATTAACTCATATGGTAGCTCAAGTTGATGAAATGTTATGCAGCCACTAAAATTATATTTATGAAAACTATGTAGCGACATAGGAACTCATTATGATAATGTTCAGAGGGGAAAAAAGTACAATAGCCATTTGTATCTATACTGTGATTCCAAATATATACCTGAATTCGAACAAGACAAATTGTAATACTTGATGAGTAGGGCTAGGAGATGGATGACTTTTTGTAATGTCTTTAGTATTATATTTTTTATGTTATGAATTAAAATTGTGTGAGATAATTACTTCCCCAGTGTTAGCCAGAATTGTCTTTCACCAAACCAGTTGGGTTTAGTGACTCTTGTATTGATTAGTTTTCTTTTAAACTCAGAGTCCTCTGAGGAAAGGTCTGTTGAGAAACAGGTGCATAATGACACATTCCAGTTGTTCTTCCATTCTAAGTGTTCACACACTCATTAGAATTGACCTTAGTCTAGGAGCAGAAATCATTATCAGCTTAACTTTCTCTTTCTGGAGAATATTTTGTGTATGAGACAAAGCAGTTGTACAACCAGGGCTTTTTTTAAAAGTTGCTGTTTTTGACACAACATGGCAATAAAATACCCATAGTTTTTTCTTAGAGTGCATTCCACTAAAATGTAGCATTCCCATCTTGTCTTGCTTGTTTGATAGGAAAAGGACACAAAGAAGAAAGGAAGAATATTATGATTTATTAAGCTATGAGGGCCAGCACCTATTTTTATTATTTTTTAATTCCCAAGAACATGATGGTGATTTGTGTATTTACAGTCTTCGTAAATACATGGGATTTTTTGAAGCTAGGTGTCCACACCTTCCAGGAGAGAGGGGGAAACTGAGTTAAATTGCTCTTATTATTTACTGGTGTGATTCTGGCCTCAGCCCGGTGTCAAAACTGACAGCCTGACCTGTTCTCTTGGCAAGATTTCTCTGAAATACACAAAGCTGTAAATGAATCCTAAGAGGAAAAGTGACCAAATCTGACTGCTCGTGACTGTCAGTCCTCTGGCCTCACTTGCTCCCTCCGTGTCCCGAGCTGGGCTCCTAGCCTGTGGCTGAATCAGAAGGAAAGTGTAGCCTTTACCGTGGGTTGGTTGCAGCAATTTGCAAAGCAGCCCAGTCAGCGTCCCCTGGGGCGTTGCGAAGTGAAGTCCTGCTGTCTGGGGCTGTTCTTGAAGAGCCTCAGGCTTCCCCTGTGGCCTTGGAGTCAGAGTTAAGGGGCTCAGTTAGGGAGCCTGCCTGGGCTTCAGGCAACAAAGGAACACACTCTTCTGTGCTCTGGAACAATGGGTGAATGTCCTGTGGTTGATCGACTTGCTTGGCCGAAGGAAAGGAGCGCCTACTGTGTAGCTGGCTGGAACTTGAAAGGCTGCCTTTTCTTAGAAAAGCTGCGGGCCTTGGGAGATGGGTCCAGAGGCAGGAGGGAAGAGGGCAGCGCCGTGGCGTGAGAAGTGGGCATGGGACAGGGCTTGGCTGACTTTGACAGGCAAAATGAGAGCTAGTTGAGGCAGATCAAAAGCTGGGCCAGTTTTACCCTAAGGGAGCAGGGGCGGGTAGGGGAGGAAGGGCCATGGTACCCACTGCAGGCGTGAGCCTGGTAAAATCAGCCACGCGGCAGCCCTGCACAACTGCGGGGCAAGCAGCTGTTTAGCTTTCATGGTCGGTGAGCACTCCGAGCCACGCTGAAGGCACCTCTGCTCTGGTCACGTGGCCTGGGGAGCAGGCTTTTCACTATCAGCCCACATGTCCCCTGCTCCCTCATTATCTCACTGATTCACTTGTGGGGTGGTACATTCACCAGACGGTTATCAAAACCTCATATGAGGGCATGAACCCAACGTGCAGGCTCTGTGGAGATCTTCAGTCTCCCTCTTCTCGCACTGAAGTCCTGATACGCACTGTGGCTTCTGTCGGGAATGCCTTTAAAAAGAAGGGACAAGGGGAGCTTGGGAGAAACGGTGGGAGGCAGAGGCATTATCCCACTGGATAACATGTACTTGGCGGGTATGAGCCTTCCTCTAGCCACCTGAACACAGGGAGGACATCATTCCTCCCTCACACCCTCAAGAACCGTCTCCCCACTTGAGGCTTGTAAACCCTCCATCCCCCAGATCAGAGGCATTCTTTTTTTTTTTTTTTTTTTTTTTTTTTTTGCGGTACGCGGGCCTTTCACTGCTGTGGCCTCTCCCGTTGTGGAGCACAGGCTCCGGACGCTCAGGCTCAGAGGCCACGGCTCACAGGCCCAGCCGCTCCGTGGCATGTGGGATCTTCCCGGACCGGGGCACAAACCCATATCCCCTGCATCCGCAGGCGGACTCTCAGCCACTGCGCCACCAGGGAAGTATAGGCATTCTTGATAAGAATGCAGGTTCCCAAGTTCCATTCCAGGCCTTTCAAATTAAAATCTCTGAAGGGGGACTCTGGGAATTTGCATTTATGAGAAGTTCTCCAGATAGTTTTTATGCACTCTAAAGTTTGAGAAACACTGTCTAAAAATTAAATTCGTGCAATAAGCCCTACAGCCAACCAGGAAGAAACAGTGGGTCATTACATGAGAGGAGGAGAAATGACAGTGCAAGGAGGTGATAGGGACGGTGCAGCAGAGGCTGCTCAGGAGGCCAGGAGGACACTTAAGAGAAGGCTGCTTCCAGCTTTGGGTCACCAGTCACCTTTGCAGAGAGCTGTCCATAACCCTACCAGGGTGGTGCAGCAGGGTGGATGTATTATGCCACGTTTAAAGAAACCAGCGAAAGACAAGCCACCATCAGGAACTTTTCCTCCAAATCCAGTTGTGTGTCCAGTGCCATGGCTCAGGCTCCCTTGCTTATGTGGGTCACTCTATATGCATCTAAATAGACAGTCCCATTACTAGCACATGTCAGTGCTCTGATGCCACACTGAAACGTGGGGTCTGGGGAGGAAACGTGTTACCTTCATTGTTCTCTGTTTAAGAAGAAACAAAGTATACAATACAACCATAGACATTAAAAAGTTTAAGAGGAAAACGTTCCCTGTGGAAATCCGAGCTAATGTCTAGAATGACTCATTCCCAAAGAGTTCCCGGTAACCAGCTTTGTTATATAACTAAGTTTGGGTTTGGCAGCATCCCAGGAACTGCCACGAGCCTTTGAGAAAGTTTCCACGGAGAGTGTCAGTCTAGACACAGCTGTTTCTCTCCCAGGTGGCTGCAGCAGGGACAGTGAAGAAATGGATTAGAACCAGAGGTGACTTTGAAGTTAATGTGTGAATGTTGGATACTAACTTGAGTTTCATCCTTCACCCAAATGGAAATGGTCCTGCAGCACATAGTTAAAGCTCACAAAAGGCCCACAATTCATTGTCATAAATAATTGGATGAAGAGGACTTAACATACATAACGGATACCCTCTGGATTTCCGGAGTTGCATAAAATAAGGATGCTTCATAATGTCTTTAAATCTGATTCTGCCTGCTGCCATGCTGGCCACCAAAAGAAGTCTCTTTTCCTTCTGGCCAGAACACCTCCTAGAGCTAAATGACCTTTCCTGGCCTGAGGGTAGTTGACTCCTAGATTTTTGTGGTCGCGGGATGCCAGGGTAACCCAGGTCCCTTTGGGGAAAAAACAGAGGCCTGGGGTTACTGCCGTGGGGACTTCCTGTTCTGCTGTCTTCTCCAAAGCACTCTGTCTGGAGTCAGCTCTCCTGTGGACTGGATGGGATTGGTTACTCACAGGCCCTGCTCCAAGGCCTTCGTAAACAATGATTTTTAGATCTTGCTAAAATATTTCCTTAATGTCAAAAGCAAGATTTGGCTTAGGGCTATAGGTAAACTGATTTCCAATTTTAGTTCATTAAAATCTAAGAAGTAACCCTAGGGAGACTGTGAAGAGGTTAAATTTGTATTTCCTCAGACACACATGTGCAGCATCATTAAACAGATTTGTCTTTTGTCTTTTTTGAGACAGTGTAATGCCTTAGGAAAGTCTGTGCATCATGTAATATATTTCCATTTCTTGTGTCCAAACTACAGTAAGCCTGTTGTTTTGTTCCACAGGTGTATTACAACACGGATGATGAACGAGAAGGGTAAGACGCTCGGTCTTTTCACTCAAGCACCCAAAGTCAGTTCATGTCAGTAGAAATGGGTTTCCAAGCACAGGGTAATGGGGCAGGGGGCGAGAATGTCTGCTCAGCCTCCAGACTCAGAGCTAGGAAAGGCTTGACTCTGGGGATTGTCGGGAAGGAGGCTGGGGAATGCCATTCTCCTTCCAGGCAGATGTAGCACAGTATACTGCTAGGCAACGTCTTCTAGGCAGTGTAGCACAATATACTGCATCCTTGATAGGTGGTCAGCCAGCTTCTACTTGAATGTTCCCAGTGATGGGAATATTCTGATACTCATGATACTGTTGGCCAGTTCCAGCTCCAGGAAGTTTGTTGAACGGATGTCTGTCTTCTTTTGACCCATTAGCTCTATTTCTGCTCTCTGGATAAGTCTCAACCTTTCCTCCTCATTCAAACAGAGTTTATCTCTCAACATCTTAATTCCCCCTCCAGGGGGTACCACTAGATTTGTTAATAGTCTCCTTAAAGCTGGCTCTCAGAAATACACACGTTCTGAAGCACAGGAGTTGGAGATTATATTGGGATAATTTCTTCTTATGACCTGGATACTGTTTTTCTCTTAAAGCAATCTAGAACTATATTCATTTTTCATCTACATAACATTACTTATATACAACTAAAGTCTTGGTTTGCATTAATTACATGTGTATAACTAAACTCTCTAGATCACTGGTTTTTCAAACTATAGTCAAACCAGGGCTTCCCTATTCTTCCCTATGCAATTAACATATTTACTTGTAAAACATTTCAAAGTGAAGTAAGTGGAGCAGATATTCTTGAGCTCATTTCCTAGAGCAGAGCTCAGGGAACTATAGCCTAAGGGCCAAATCAAGGCCTAATACTTTTTGTACTGTCTGCAAACATTTTTAAATGGTTGAAAACATCCCAAAGAAGAATAATATTGCATGACACTTGAAAATTATGAGGTTCAAGTGCCCATAAATGAAGCTTAATTGGAATACAGCCACATTAATGCCTTGTCTTGTCTCTGGCTGTCTTGGTGCTGCCACAGCAGAGCTGAGTACAGAGGCGCTGCTGTAGTTGCAGCAGAGACCGTCCGTCTAGCCTGGAAAGCCTAAATATTTACTTTACAGAAAAAGTGTGCCACCCTCTGAAGGATAGAGGATCTCAGAAGAGCCTAATAATTCCCTAGTTGGTTAGGAGCAGAGCCTTGTCCAGGATCTGACCTCTAGATTCTGAGTTCCAAATTTTCTAAATACATAATTAGATTGTTCTTTCCGTCTTGGTACAGAGGCGATATATTCCAGGGGTGGGAATGAACAGAAACGCTTAGCACGAGCAATTGTAATCTGTTGTTCACATAGTTTACAAAGGACAGGTTGGTGTCACGGAAAGAACGTTGACTCTGAGCTGAGGAAGCCCGGGTTCTACTCCCGGGCTGCCGCTCACCCGTGTGAAGCCTGGGGCCACCTCCCTGACCTCTGGGCTTCGGTGTCCTCCATCGTAAAATGAGGGTTTTGTATAAGACGATCTGTAAGATCTCTTGTGAGAAAATTAAATGTTATGAATAAGAAGTGCCTGGGACCTAAATGCTCTTGCACGTGCAGGCTGCGCTTGTGAATCTGCCTCAGCGTAACTGTCCTTCCCTGCAAGTCAGCAACATTTAGGTGGCGAATTGGCCTACTTTGACCTCTTCTGGCCTCTCTGTAACAGTTCCCCTCTTTTATTGCAGAATCTTGAGGCCTGAGGCCCAAGGCTCTTACTCTTAACCATCTTCTCATTAGAGTTCGACTGAGCAATATGGGCGGCCTTGGAGCCCAGCGTTAGCACATAGTAGGACTTGGCTATGGTGACATGTAAAAGTGGTAATCGACATTCACTGGACACCTTGGCTAGGCACTGTCCTAAGTGCTTTCTATGGATTTTATTGGATTCTTCCAAAATTCCCATAGGGAAGATGCTATACGTACTTCCACTTTATAATGAGGAAACTGAAACTTCAAAAGATCAGGAAACTTCGAAGCCGCATAGCTGGTGAGTGACAGAGGCAGGATTTGAACTTGGGTCTAGCTGCACTCCCATCGCCTGCCTTTAGCCATCACGCCCCGTCACCTAACCCTCGTAATTCTTGATCTGTGGCTGCCAAGGAATCATCCAGAGACAGGCCCTCATCGTGATGGCTCTCTGGCCTTGACCAAGGCACACTGTTTGGATTTCCGGACCCAGGTTGTGACAAGCCTAGGAGAGTGTACCTGGCGGAGGGGGTCAGTTCACCGAGCCCTGGGGAGAACCACCTTCATGGGCATTCGCTTAGCCTTCATCAGATCAGGACTGTCTGGCCAGTTCTTCTCTCTCCCTGCCAGGCATAAATCAGTTAGTGTTAAAGCATCTAACTGAGTGTTGGAGAGCGTCCTTCAGGCAGCCACCAGCTGGAGGACACAGCCTGCCCAGGTGCACCAGGGCCCTCTCCCAACTACTCCAAAGCCAGAGTGGTGGCCAGACACGGGCTTGTTCATGAGGAGGAGAGCTTTTTGCCCTGAAGCGCCAGCAGTTATAGAGAAACTAGAGAAAACTCGGATGAGGTGGGATGGGGAGCCATCGCCAGCTAGGTACCTGAACGAAATGAAAAGAGGAGCACCTGTTCGCTCCTGCCTCCCTGTCTAGTGATAAGTATTTGGGGTGACTTCTGGTGCTGAATCTGGGGATCACAGACCCCATGCAGGCTTGTTTCCTAGGCAGGGGCTACAACAGATACAGAGGCTTTTGGACACCATCTCTGAGCAGCAGGTCTCTCGCTGCATATCAGTATCAAGCCGGGGAGTTAAAAAAATACTCACATACAGGGACCGTCTCCGGGGAGTTTGACTAAATTGGCAGATGGGTGCAGCTCAGGCATGGAGACCTTTTTAAAGTCCCCAGGTGATTCTAATGCACGCAATGTTTGAGAACCACTGCTCTAGAGCCAGTCAGCCATGATTTGAGTCTTGCATTGATCTTACAAGCTGTGTAACTTAAGATAACAACCTTTTGGGGCCTCAGTTCCCTCATCTAAAAATAGCAAATATTAATACCTACCTGCTAGAATTATTAGAAGCATTAATATGTAAAATGCCCTGACACATGGAAGATGCTTTCAAAAAAACAGAGCTATTATTGTTGCCAAGGTTCCTTTTCAGGCCCTAAATAAATGATACTTCATTGAGAAATGGAAGAGAGGAAGATGAAGAAAAATGGAAAGAAAAACCAGACAAAAAGGATTTTCTGTAGAGCTGAGCCCTTAACCAGGGATTCATGAATGGCTCTCATGGGGAAGAGGGAAGGGCCTTACGCTCCCTGAAACAGTATTTAAATTGATATTCAAATATCATGCATGATGAGAAATTCTATTTCCATTATTTCTGGGGATCTGGTATCCATCTCCATCTGACCTCTAGTTCCTGGAAAACCATTCTTGCCTTAATCCTCTGTCCACACTGGTCCCCACAGAGGTGTCCCCCGTTCCAGTCTATTGTGAGGTCCCCTCAAGTCTAGCAGCTCTGTGGCTTCTGCACTGCATTTGGGGCACAGGGATTCTTGGCAAATTTGGGCATCCTCATGTCTGTTTTTAATCAAACCTTTTATTTCAAGATAATTATTGATTCACATGCACTTGTAAGAAGCCCAACCCCTTTTCTTTCTTTTTTTTTTTTTTTTTTTTGGCCACACTGCTCAGCATGTGGGATCTTAGTTCCCTGACCAGGGATTGAACCCAGGCCCACGGCAGTGAAAGCACCATTTTAACCACTGGACCACTGGGGAATTTCCAGGCCCACCCCCTTTTCAATTGATGTATTTTTATTTTTACTGTTAGATATTGCAGTTAAAAAATCCACCCAATAATACTCAAATCTGCATCAGATATACAAGGAAGATTTTTAGAAAATATTTAAGGAAATGAAAATCATGTTTACCATCCCTCAGAGTAGCAGATTTTTATCAGTTTCTTACATTAGTACCAGTTATTCTTGCTTGTATACTAGTTAGCCATTTTGCAAATTAGAAGATTTGAACTAAAGACTCTTAGAACTAAGCTTTGCCTTTTTTAATAAATTTACCCTACATTTGCCCTCTCTGTTGCTCTTCATTCTTTCCTTTATTTCTCTGTTTCTCTTTGGGATCCTTTTCCTATTTTTTTTTTTAATTGAAGTATAGTTGATTTACAATATTGTGTTAGTTCCTGGTGTATAGCAAAGTGATTGTTATACGTGGGATCCTTTTCCTATTGCCAGAAGAATTCTGTTTAATAATTCTTTTGTTGTGGAACTTTTGGCAAAGAATTCTCTCATATTTGTTTATTTGTTGTAAATGTTTTTATTTTGTAATCGCTTTTCTAGGGTATTTCTGTTAGGTATCAAATTCCAGGTTGGCAGTTACTTTCTTTCAGTTTTGGTTTCCATCATTTTTTGTTGAGAAGTCAACTGTCTTATTGTTGCTATTTGAAATGTAATCTTTTCTTTCTTCCCTTCCTTCCTTCCTTCCTTCCTTCCTTCCTTCCTTCCTTCCTCCCTTTCTTTTTTCTTTCATTTGAGAAAGACCGCTTTAAAATTTTTCTCTCTCAGGTTTTCAAATTTTTTATGATGTTTCTACGTGTGGGTTTTCTTTGTACTTTCTTTTTCCCCCTGCTTGGTATTTTATACCACTCATTGAATCTGTGAGTTGATGTCTTTCATCAGTTTTGGAACATTCTTGGCTGTCATCTCTTCAAATAGTGCTCTTCCCTGTTCTCTCCCCACTCCTTTGAGACTCTAAATGTGTATTAGAGTTTTTTATTCTGTCCCTATGTTTTTTATGTTCTTTTCTAAACTGTCCATCTTCTTTACTCACCATGCTCCAGCCTGGATATTTTCTATTGACCTCTCAAATCCTCTCTTCTGCTAGGTTCAATATACTAAACCCATCTATTGAGTTATTAATTTCAATTATTGCACTTTTTAGTTCTAGGACTTCCACTTAATTGGTTT